GGCCACCCGCCTACGATGCACCGCGCTAGCTGGATGGACACCATGTCATGTCATGGCCCAGTCGATCGCAATGAGTGAGACGTCGTCAGGAGGGGCCTGCGGCGGTGAACACTGTTCGCCAAGACGCTGTTACGACAGCTTGTCCCTGATTACCCCCCCGGGCTGATCGGCAGCCTGCAGGACGATAGAACCTCCCGCCTGGTGGGACGGCAGCTCTTTTTGGCGCTTATCTGCGTCACAGCCCACACAGGTCGTGTCCCTGGGAGCTGCCTTGGGCCCTACCCAGCCGGCTCCCTCTTCTCTCTACCAGTTTTCTACTCGTCTGATCGACATTGGCCCAATTGGCAGCATCAATGCTCAACGAGGCCACATCATCCGAAAGGGGGAAAAGATGGGTGGGGTGCAGATCTCTTTCGTCCTGCCCCGACCAGGGGAAGGGGCTGATCCAGTGGCAGGGCAGCATGAAGACTTTCCCAGCAGAGGGTGAGAGACGTGCCCCTTACCATGATGCAGCTGCCATGTGTGTTTTCTGATCCCTCCGACATGTCCATAACCTCCATCCACAGGTCGCTCTCTCACCCTTCAGGCGGAACGAACGGCTTGCTGCGAGTCCACCCAGCAAACAGGGAATCAGCAGGCTGGGCTGGGCTGGGCTGGGCTGCCCCTGATGAGTGTGATGAAGGGGATATTGATGGTTGATTCTGGGACTAGCTAGTACCAGTGCCGGGGTTCCCATTCTCGTTCGGATTCCGACCAGCCAGCCAGCCCGGTCGTACCGTGCGTGGGTTCGTTCATCGACAAACCAATCTCGGCCGAGCGACCAAACGCCAACGCAGTGCTGCTGCCGGCTTCTGATCGCCTCCAACAGAAAGCTGGGGGACATCGGGTGTTGTTTGAATCCTTGTCCCGTAGCCCCATATGCGACCCTCTGCGCCCCAGGTACGCACATGCCTATGCACACATGCCATGTCCCATGGCCACAAGGTTGGTGGAGCTGTCACCATGGGTCAGGTGGAAACTGGAAGCTCAAGGGAGGGGCTTGGTAGGCAAGACGAAACAGCCGAAGGGACAATGGCCTTTTAGTGAGATGATCGTAGACCATGAGTTGCGCGTGTGTCTCGGCGGTGCTGGCCGCCTCCTCTCGAACATATAACCCTGAGGGCGTCCTCCCCCCCCCTCGCGTCGTCCCCTTTTTCGACTCTCCCCGCGGGCAGCAGCACATGGGCTATCGTCTCCTACACTCTTTTGCATCCGACCCACTGACGCAACCATGCTTCTCCCCTCCTTCACGGCGCTCTGCGCCCTTGCCACCATCCCTTGGGTGGACGCGCGGACAGATTATCCCGTCGTGGGCGTCAAGTCTGGCATCAACCCCCTCACGAGAGAGACACCTGCAAGGAGGAATATCAGTGCCCTCTACGAAGAGGCTGGCCCGCAGTGGTGAGTGAGACACGGGTTTCTGAGACGGAAACGACCTGCATGCGCTAACCCAACCTCCAGGGACCTTTACGTCGACGCACTGAAAGCCATGCAACGAACCAACGAGACGGATCCCCTCTCCTATTTTCAAATTGCCAGTCAGTAGCACTCAGAAATCTGTAAATTGGCGACGATCATGTTCGTTGCTGACCCTCTCAAGGTATCCATGGGCAGCCATACGGGCCTTGGCCACCAGGCGCTGCTCAGACGGGAGCTCAGCAAGGATATTGCCCCCATAATGTAAGTTTCATTGTGTAATAAACTCTTAGAGTTTGATCTAACGCAATCAATAGGAGGCTTTGTTTGGGACGTGGCATCGCGCCTACTTGAGCCTTTATGAGGTCGGCTACTACCCTGCCAGTTGATACGCGAGATGAGCACTGACGCGACGCAGCAAACTCTCGTCAAGCACGCACAGGAAATCGCCCAGACGTACCCCCCTAGGTACAGAAGGCAATACGTAGAGGCTGCTGATCGCCTGCGTGCGGCCTGGTGGGACTGGGCGTCTGACTCTCGCGTTCCTCCCGTTACCACGCAAAAGACGGTCGTCATCAACAGACCTTACGGAGATGGTCTGCGCCCGCTGAGAGTACTCAACCCGTTCTACACCTACAAGTATCCCCAGGCGGCACAAGACGGAGACTATGGCAGGTTCAGTGGCGTAGGCAACACGAAGCGGTGCACGCAACAGGGCAACAGCTATCCCAAGTCGGCAAATGAGCTGCTGTCGAAGATCTCCCTCAAGAGTCAAGTGGTAAGGAACGCCGACTTGGACGAGAAGATGCCGCGGGCTAACGAACTGGAAAGTATACTGCCCTCAGCCGTGCCAAGTCATGGTCGGAAATCAGCACCTCGGCCAACGGCGGCTCCAGCATTGAGGGCCCTCACGGATCGATTCACATCCGCGCCGCCTGCGGACTTGACTTTGTCTATCTAGAGACATCTGGATTTGAGCCCTTGTTGTATGTTCTTCACTGTCGATACTCCTCGGCCGCATGCCGCATGCCACCCTCGTCGGAACACTAACAGCAGAGCAGCATGCTCCACCATGTAAACGTCGACCGTATCCTTGCCTTCTGGCAGGTCCTCCATTACGAGAACGGGAAAATCGAATTTAACTACAAGACTGACGGTCTTTATGCCACGCCAAAAGGTACCACTGTCACAGCCAAGTCTCCGCTTCGGCCCTTTGAGAACGAGCGCGGTCCCCTGACCAGCGAGGACATGACCAACATCGGCGACTGGGGCTACACATACGAACCCATCGAGTTTTGGAGGCAGAGCCCTGCAGAACAGAAGCGCGTAGTCACCCAATACGTCAACAAGTGGTACGGTCCCCAGCGCCAGGCGACGGCGCCCCGCGCTGTGAAGGCCAGGGGTGTCGCCGAGCCTCAGTATTACGCCAACCTCGAAGTCGAGAGGTCAGAGCTCGACCTGCCCGCCATGGTGGATCTGTACGTCAAGGGACGCCATGCCGGCTCCTTTGCCCTGCTGGGCATGCCCATGCACGGCAAGGAGTTACGAAGAGATTCCCGCTGCAGCAGACCATTCAAGACGCGGCGTTTTCCCTGAACATCACATCCGCACTGGGCATGCGCGAGGTGCTTACCCATCACCTCGAAGCACGCATCACAAAGGTCAGTCACTTATTCGGCCACCTGTCGCCATTTCAGCCGCCAGCTAACATGACTGCAGCCCGACGGAACCTTGATCCCGCTCGAGAAGGTGCCGAGCCTCAAGATCGACCTCGAGGAGGTCCAAGTCGCCGCGCCCGAGACGGACGAGGAGCTCCCCAAGTTCGGGCTCGCCGACGTTCGGCCAGCTCGTGTCAAGGCGCTTACCAAGGAGGTCGTCGAGGTGCTTGTCACGGTTCACGTGCCGTGCCCGACAGAGACGCCCTCATACGGAGTCCTCTGAGCGGCGCTGAGGTTACGGAGGTGGAGCTTTGTTCATACGCGTTGCTTGGGTTGTGGCATGCACATTACGTTCTCTGCATATTCATCACTTCTTTACTCTCATTTGTCTGTCCCACGACTCCTCGACGGAGGATCCCCAGGGGAGGTTTGTATTCAAGGGCATTTGCCCTTTATCCGGGGCTGGATGACTCGCACGCCAGAACGATAATTATTATTATCTCTGCTTCTCTTCGATCGATGCTTGCCGCTAAACTTGACGCTTAATACCAGGTTGATGCTTCAGGTTACCTTCCTTCCTTCCGAGACTTAGATAACTGCGTCCCACGATGCTTGAACCGCTTGACGTTCGCGAAGTGAAACCAGCACTGTTACACAAATGGGGCGGCGGGGGCGGTGAGGCCGCCTTGATCTGGGTCAAACATGGTGATACCATCTCGCGAGTCCCGTCGGCGGTGCCGCGGCGACGAAAGGCCCGATGACAGTGGGCGCGGGTGCGATGCGATGTCTCCGGTGGCACGTTTCGCAGGGCCGTCGTCTAAACTGACGTCGGCGGCATCTCCGAGCGGGCATTGGCCCCTGTCTACGGTGCAAGCAACCCAGTGCAAGCAACGCAGCTCCCCAAGCCGCAGGGTCAAAGACTACAGAGCCACGGCAGACACAGCAGCCAGGCGGGCTCGGAGAGAGAGGGGGGCGGGGGGCACTCAAGAGGCACCGGTCCGCCTGCCGACGACCCACACGCCCGCGGCGCCGACCTGCAGGAGCAGCGCGCAGACGGCAAAGACACGGCCCGCGGCGTCGGCGGACCCCTCGCCCATGAGCTGCAGGCTCAGCACGACGAAGACGTTGAGCGGCACGCGCAGGGCGGCGTAGGCGCGGGCGCGGACGGCGTCGGGGACGAGGGCGTTTTTGAGCGTCGCCTGCGCGGGAAAGTAGGCGCCGACGACGGCCTCGAAGGCGCAGAAGAGCCAGAAGGCGGGCTGCGGGCCCGCGGGGCGGGAGGCGAGGGCGTGCAGGAGGAGCGAGGCCGTCGCCAGCAGCAGGGCCAGCAGTGTGGGCGGGGACAGGTGGGCGGTCAGGCGTGGATAGGCGAGGGACGAGAGCAGGGTCGCCGACATGAAGGAGGCGAAGATGAGGCCGTAGGGGAGGGGTTCTGGAGAGGATGAGGACGAGGCGGCGACGGGTTCCAGGACGGGAGCCCAGAGGACGACGAAGAGGTACATGGAGCCCTCGAAGGCTGTCGAGGCCACGGTCAGGGCGAGCATGCCGGGCGTCGTGAGGGTGTTCCACAGGGACACAGTCGTCGAAGTCGTCTCCTGCTTTTTCGCGTCGGACTCGGAGGACGTCCCTGTTGCGCCGTAGTTCTCGTCCTGGTTCTTGTCAGCTGCAGTGCCACGTTTCAGGTCCCCAGCCAGGCACGCCGAGTATGGAGCGAAGACAACCTACCCATGCCACGAGCATGCACACGGCTGCCGCGCCGACGAGGAGGGCGCTCGCGCCAAACGGCGCCCTCGACGTGCCGACGAGCCCGACGAGCCACTCGCTCGCGAGGCCGCTGACAATGGCCACGACGCTGTTGACGGTGCTCATGAGCCCAAACGTCGCCGAGAGATCGCCGCCCCCCCGCCACGCTCTGGCCCGTCTCGCCCCCGCGCCGGC